GGGGAGGAAATATGTAACCTCTTTGGCACAAGGCAGTTAGGCTTTCAAGTGGGCATGCAACATGGTGTTGCGGAAGAACAGAAAAGCTGTGTGTTCCGCTTTTGGCATTCACGTGTACACACACGCCTTCATTCAGGAGTCACTACAAACAGCAGGGCCTTGGGGCATCTTTTATACATTCACAAAGAAGAAGTTTGGAATGGCTTCCAAGAAACATACCTGTCTGTTGTCACATGTCATGGAAGCATGGAACTGTGATATTTCACATGGCTGCATGTACACACAACACACCCCTGAAACCTGGGGAGATTATGCACCGATGTGGCCTATACCTATAAGGAGCTAGTGCACAAGGAATTTGTCAATGGGATGTGAAGATGTGAAGTGATTCTTCATGGGTGGGTTGTCCTGCATAGGCACAATTCTTGTGGAAAGGAAAGTTTACTTCAATCCATTCCGGGAATTGTCTAAACTTCTTTTGTATTATCCTGGATGGAAAACCACACCCATTTAGTACCAAAATAGACTGATTGTTCAGCTCTGTCTTGTTCAATGCTAAATATGTCAGAAAGCCATTTCTAGTAAATCAAAATCCCTACAACCTAGCAGAAAAAACTTTGTTCAAATTTTCAAAGAATGTGAGTTCTGTAGAGGAACAGATAGTCCATGTGCAAGAAATTTCTGTTTTGTTTGACTTCTGCACCATTCATCCCTCTTTGAATTTTTTATAAGTTTTGCTTCTTATTTGTTTTTTTATGAAAGCAGAAGAACTGTGCTCAAGCATGTAATTAGTTTCCATGCTAACAACAATAGAGTAATATGAAATTGACGATAAAGTATATTATCAGCCAACTGTGGCAGACAGTGTGAGTGATTCAGTTATGTTTACACTACACAACATAATCAACTCTACTTGTATAAAGACGAGCAGTATCTGCTGCAATTCCTTTCTGATTGATTTTCATGTTAAAACTAAAATGAATGTTGATTTGTTCATGGCTCGTTAAATTTACACCGTGCAGTGGATGCGATTGGCCTCTATGCTGATTGACAGGTCGTTGTGGTAGCGACTTCTTAATCAGAAGGTAGTCGCAAGGTAGCCAGTCTTTTTCAACAAAGCGTGCTTTGTTGAAAAAGACATTAACGCATTAGGAAAGTGTTTTTTGACCTGACGTATGACAACGTAGGTTGATAGGTCAAACAGTGGCTAAAGGGTAAAGAGTGTAGTGAGATGTTAAGAATCAGTTTGGTGCGTTGACATAAATCAGTCTTCCATTTAGTGTCTACAGAGCAGCACACTTTATAATTGATGACATTTCAAGTTTCGCGTCTGAGCGCTCTGGTTTCAGGAGAGACCTACATTCCCTTTAACTCCTTCATGTGTGGAGAGCCTTGACACGTGGAGTCGTGGAACTCCTGGAGAGCGACCTCTTCGTATTTTCACAGTAAACAGCCCCTCCAAAAGCTCTCGCGCCCTCTCCTGCAGCTCTGAACAGTGGCCTCCTTTCAGGGCCATCACTTAAGGGCCCTATTAATAATTTGACAAGTTTTCTCAAAGATTAATTACGGCCAGCTTCGAGGCTGCAATTATGCAGGGTGGAGAGACTCCGTAAACCTTTTCCAGCTCCATTTCCAGGCCCAATTTTCCACTTATCAAGATGTCAGTGGGGAGGAGAGGTTGTCTAACAGTCTCTCTGATGCATAGATCCCCATTAGTTGGAAAGGAATAAACAACACTTAATGGCAAATGCTCTCCAATTCGCTAGCAGACGGCTGAGACTGGAGTTAATAGAACCAATCTTTTAAGGCTGAGATAAAAGAATTAGGAAAGTAGAAAATCTTTCAAATGTGTTGTTACCTGGCATGACTGCTGTGACAACAAGAGTCTATGATTACCATGTTCACCATCTTAATTTATCATGTTAATGTTTGCTAATTTAAAGTACAGCTGTAATTTATAATATTGATTTCCATTTCAATTCCAATATGAAAGACAAACTCTAGTTGTTCTTTGCAAGCAGACAAATTACTCAAACACATACATCACCACTGAAGAGTGGAAGGCTCCTGTCCTCCACAGCAGATGGTTGGTACCGAGCCAGCCGGCCCGTGCCGGGAGAGAGAGGAAGAGAGAGAGAATACAATGCAGCGAGTGTAGCCACCTGCTTGTCCCATTCTCCTTTCTACGTTCAAACAGAGCCCTCAGTCTCACTACAACTCATTATTAGACATGTGTTATCAATGCAAATCATTTATAAATATAGTAATAAATATATAAAAATATTAATTGTGACTTTTAAAAATATATCAGTGCAAAAATACAATAAGTAGGCTACCTTTTGTAGATAAAAATCTAAAGTTAAAAATGTGTGTTGGAACCAACAAAAGCTGTTGCCATCCTTGCATGTTGTTTTCATGTTCTCCTCTTTGAGTTGCATGTTGAAACATTATCATTATTATCATCTATGTATGGCCTCAGTGAAAAAGAGGGGGACGGAGGGGTAAAGCACAAAGCCCAGATTGTTCCTCCTCGCTGTGGGCCCTAATTAATTCCAACTTTACATTCTGGCCTACAATCTCCCCCGCTCATCCCAGGATCCAGATGACTTCATCCTCTCAGAGATAAGGGGGAGACGGAACCAAAACAAGCTACTGCCTACTAGTTTAGGTAACAGCTGATATGTAATATCTGGTTAGTTCAGTATGCATATACAATCTATTAATGTAAGTGAGCATTATCCACATCTTTAAAGTAAAATTTCAGCCAGTCTTGGTTTTCCACCCCATAACCACCAGCTTCCAACTGTCTGAAACATCGGGAGGGGACACGGCCCCCTCCCTCAGCTCCAGGTACTGGGCACAGGTGGGATTTGAACCTTAGACACTGCACTACTGGCGCCTTACGGTCACTGTCAAACCAGCCACACCACTGAGTCCCCTTTGCATGTGAAACTTTTCTCCGGGCGCTTTTCTCTTTTCTCTTTGGGAGTTGCGCTTCAAAATTCACTGAGCCTTTGATAAGGAATGAACCAACAACCTCTGAACTTCATAGCAGTACTCTACCAGCTTACGCCATCAGACCAGACATTTTACTAGTATTTCTTAGTGCTCTTGACTGTTTCTTTTGGGAGCTGCTTCAAAACTCATAGGCAATCAACAAGGATTGAACCCATGACCTCCGAGCTTTAAAGCAGTCCTATACCAGCTGGACCATACATGTCACTGCTATTTCTTAGAGCTCTTGACTGTTTCTTTTTTATGAGTTGCTTCAACAGTCAGTAGGACTTGAAAAGGATTGAAACCCACAACCTGTGGACTTCAAAGCAGCCCTCTATCTCACTGAGCTACAGAACCAGACAGGTTAACTTTATTTCTTCGAGCTCTTGACTTTTTCTTTTGGGAGGTCCTTCAAAACTCAGTGGGCCTTGATAAGGATCAAACCTACAACCTCAGGTTCAAAGCAGTCCTCTAGCTCACTGAGCTACAGGACCAGGCAGGTTAACTTTATTTCTTCGAGCTCTTGACTTTTTCTTTTGGTAGTTAGGATTGAACTCACAACCTCTGACTCTCGAAGAATATCCTCACCCACACATGCACTGTCACCGGATCACCCCTGTCCTCCAGAATCTTATTGTCGTCTATATGCCCTCAACGTATTTAGTACAATATCTTCTTCCTAACACACAAAGCCCTCCATAACAAGGCCCCTTCCTACCTCACAGACCTGCTCCACCGTCACAATCCCTCATGTAACCTCCGCTCCTCCAACACTAACCTTCTCTCTCCACAAATCAGGACCTGGGGCGACAGAGCTTTCACCATCGCAGCACCCTCCCTCTGGAACTCATTACCCATACACACCCGTGAATACAGCGACTCTTTCAAACCACTTATCAAGTCATATTGCACCTGCTGCTGTTTGATATTTATATGGTCGCCCCTACGCTCCTATGTATTTCTGCACCATGTTTTTACCACTGTTCATATATTTTGTGCTATTTATGTATTTTATCTTTTTAAATGTACATAACATCTGTTTTTACTGTAAAGTGTCTGTGAGTGAGTCTTGAAAAGCGCTTGGCATCGCGGTTCCCAGTACCAGCGGAGCTGGGAACCCTATTGTAATCGTTAGAATTTTCATTTTTTATTTTTTTTCTTCTGGGAAGAAAACTCATACTGCGTCCTATACGGTAAGTGCCACAGACGCGAAACTCATAAGGTAGGTCTGAAACTCTGACTTCAGGCGCAAAAAGTTGCACACTTCTATTGGGGCCTTTCTGCATCCTGTAACAGATCAATTGTGGTTAATTGAGTTCATGACATGTTATGTTATGTTATGTTACATGTTGTTTGCATTGTTACTTTTCTTGTCTTTGTGCATTTCTTGCACAAAAATTACTGGATATTTCTGTTTAACATCTACTAAGAATCAAATGACCAATAAGCCTGAACTGTAAACTTTTCAATCATTTATTTAATTAAGGAGGAATAAAAAATTTGGCAAGTGTGTTCCTCCAGTTATAGGAATGCTTCAGATTAGCACCGTCGATAATCTATTGCAGCACCTACTTAAAATGACACTAAAGAAAACTTATTGAGACTTGCCGGACCCAAATTAGCAAAGTTAAATTTGGGGGCCGGCTTCATTACCTCTCCCAAAGTTTAATCGAGAACTGCCAATCCAAACTGTCCTTTTCAGTCAAGATCACATTTAATCCATAGCTTTCTCTTGTGTCCATTTTGAATATGACACCGTGTCAGCTTGCTATAAGCTTATTTTACATTTCAGGTTGTAAAATAACACCAAACCAAAAAAAAGTATGTTACAGCTGATGGAGAACAAGGGTATATGTGAAAATGTCCTGACTCCTCCTCTTATAAAATACAAAATTCATCACACAACTGCTTTGGCGCTCTTTCTTGTATGCAGCCACTGAACCTGCCCAGAGACGTGGACACCTAATAGTCCACCCAACAGTGTTAAATAAGCAAAACTCAAGTAGGCATGGTGATTTTATTGGCTGTGCCCTGTGCCAAAAAGGGACATTTATGTTATCCGACTCGGTGATCGGGTATGTGTAGTAATTTCATGCAGATTTCAGTCAGTGCAAAGCAGCTACTGTTGTGTTCCATGAATTACCTCCTTTGTAGAGTGAGAGAAGTTATCTCACCAGATGATATATAATAAATGCTTGTTTGAAGATGTCAACAATATTTAACAGATTGCTGGCTTGAATCATTTTTTGCAGCATCCCCTCCCTCTTGCCCGTCGCACTGAAGGTTTCTCTGAGGGCCTCATTCATCCTCCTTTCCCTGTGTGTCACAGCCAAGGCCTGTCGACAGCCTGGTTAGCACAGAGAGAGAGAGAGAGAGAGAGAGACAGTGAGTTTCGGTTTGTACGGGTCTCTTTCTTCAGGGTCACTGAGCGCAGGTGACCACAGGAAGTTGTTTTCCAGAGCTTTTCCAGTGGTGTGTGTGCTTAGGACTGTCTCACCGCAGGAACTTCCTCTTTGCGCAAAAGCGCACACAAACACAGATTCCCACACACAAAATGTGACCTTGGAGACTTAGCATTGATTTTGACATTTGCTTTGACTATGACATGACACAAAGTCAATTTAGTGTCAGAAGTTAAGACATTATTGGCTGGCTTTTGGCTGCAAAAAATTAAACGCCCCCTTTTGCATGTTTTGCTTATTAGAAGATGTTGAAAACTACTGGATTTAACCGAAGCTACTTTGGATCAGCTCTTTCTCTCCAATATTGAAAATTGTATCTAAAAGCTGATTATAGTGAGTCAGTTTGAGTGCTGGGGACTTAAATAGTCAAGTCCTACCCAGTCATAGCAGGCATGCCTCGTTATTTTGATAGGCAACTTAACTAGCAGCAAAGTGCCACACTTCTACACCAAATGAGCTCAAGCAAGACTCTGTTTTCTATATTAATCAAGCAGGCATTCCAAGCTGAAGGAATTCTGTTGCTTTTGGATGTGGGCCAGCTGCAGCGCTACTTCATAAGACGCCTTGCAGTGAAATGACATGTTAAGTGTGCAGCTTGTTTTCTCTAACTTTGGGGTCCAAGCAATGAGGCAATTTGTGTCTAGTGGCCCACAGCGAATCAGAGATGGAACACATGTTAAGTTCTATACACACATACTTAATACTTTGCAATTGGTACATGACTTTTAAACTGGGACTTTATCAGAACAAAATGCACTTACTTCAGCATTGCAAGAGCTTCATTCTGGAACATTTCGAGTGCACATTAAAGTCAAAGGAAACATGAACTATACTGTAGCTTTTTGTTCCATTTTTCAAAAGAGGAGAAAACCATATTAGCAGAAAAAGCATCTAATCTTCAAGCCACTTGCTGCCCATTTCACCCCGCATAGGTTAAGTCTGAGGACTGGCGTTGCGAGGAGACGTCCTGTTAACATCCGCTACTGACTGAAGCATGGCATAGCACTGTGGATGTTGATATCATAACCCCCCCCTTTTTTCCAAAAAGTGCAAACGGTGTACATCCAACATTTGGGAATGTTGAGTACAGTTTGTGTTCCACTCTAAAAATGGAGCTGGCTTGAATCATTTTTGAGTCCAGTGATGATACGGAGTAACGTACGGAGTCATGTAATAAAATTAATTTTCCTCCGCTGCACTGATGGGAGTCATGGAATAACATATGGAGTCAAGAAATAAGACATAGAATAACATAGGGAGTCAAGAAATAAGTCATGGAGTAACGTACAGATTCATGGAATAACATATGGAGTCAAGAAAAAAAGTCATAAAATAACATAGGGAGAAAAGAAATAAGTCATAGAGTTACATACAGAGTCATGGAATAATATATGGGGTCAAGAAATAAGTCATAGAATAACATGGAATCAAGAAATAAGTCATGGAGTAAAGTACAGAGTCATGGAATAACATGGAGTCAAGAAACAAGTCATAGAATAACATGGAGTCAAGAAATAAGTCATAGAATAACATGGAGTCAAGAAATAAGTCATAGAATAACATGGAGTCAAGAAATAAGTCATGGAGTAAAGTACAGAGTCGTGGAATAACATATGGAGTCAAGAAACAAGTCATAGAATAACATGGAGTCAAGAAATAAGTCATAGAATAACATGGAGTCAAGAAATAAGTCATGGAGTAAAGTACAGAGTCGTGGAATAACATATGGAGTCAAGAAACAAGTCAAAGAATAACATGGACAAGAGTCATAGAATAACATGGAGTCAAGAAATAAGTCATGGAGTAACATACAGAGTCAAAGAATAACATGGAGTCAAAAATAAGTCATGGAGTAACGTACAGAGTCATGGAATAATATATGGAGTCAAGAAAAAAGTCAAAGAATAACATGGAGTCAAGAAATAAGTCATGGAGTCAAGAACAGAGTCATGGAATAACATGGAGTCAAGAAACAAGTCAAAGAATAACATGGAGTCAAGAAACAAGTCAAAGAATAACATGGAGTCAAGAAATAAGTCGTAGAATAACATGGAGTCAAGAAATAAGTCAAAGAATAACATGGAGTCAAGAAACAAGTCAAAGAATAACACGGAGTCAAGAAATAAGTCAAAGAATAACATGGAGTCAAGAAACAAGTCAAAGAATAACATGGAGTCAAGAAATAAGTCAAAGAATAACATGGAGTCAAGAAATAAGTCAAAGAATAACATGGAGTCAAGAAATAAGTCAAAGAATAACATGGAGTCAAGAAATAAGTCATGGAATAACATGGAGTCAAGAGTAATGGAATAACATGGAGTCAAGAAATAAGTCAAAGAATAACATGGAGTCAAGAAATAAGTCAAAGAATAACATGGAGTCAAGAAATAAGTCATAGAATAACATGGAGTCAAGAAATAAGTCATGGAGTAACGTACAGAGTCATGGAATAATATGGAGTCAAGAAACAAGTCAAAGAATAACATGGAGTCAAGAAATAAGTCAAAGAATAACATGGAGTCAAGAAACAAGTCAAAGAATAACATGGAGTCAAGAAATAAGTCAAAGAATAACATGGAGTCAAGAAATAAGTCAAAGAATAACATGGAGTCAAGAAATAAGTCAAAGAATAACATGGAGTCAAGAAACAAGTCAAAGAATAACATGGAGTCAAGAAACAAGTCAAAGAATAACATGGAGTCAAGAAATAAGTCATAGAATAACATGGAGTCAAGAGTAAGTCAAAGAATAACATGGAGTCAAGAAACAAGTCAAAGAATAACATGGAGTCAAGAAATAAGTCAAAGAATAACATGGAGTCAAGAAACAAGTCAAAGAATAACATGGAGTCAAGAAATAAGTCAAAGAATAACATGGAGTCAAGAAATAAGTCAAAGAATAACATGGAGTCAAGAAATAAGTCATGGAATAACATGGAGTCAAGAAATAAGTCAAAGAATAACATGGAGTCAAGAAATAAGTCAAAGAATAACATGGAGTCAAGAAATAAGTCATAGAATAACATGGAGTCAAGAAATAAGTCATAGAATAACATGGAGTCAAGAAATAAGTCAAAGAATAACATGGAGTCAAGAAACAAGTCAAAGAATAACATGGAGTCAAGAAATAAGTCAAAGAATAACATGGAGTCAAGAAATAAGTCATAGAATAACATGGAGTCAAGAAATAAGTCATGGAGTAACATACAGAGTAATGGAATAACATGGAGTCAAGAAATAAGTCAAAGAATAACATGGAGTCAAGAAATAAGTCATAGAATAACATGGAGTCAAGAAATAAGTCATAGAATAACATGGAGTCAAGAAATAAGTCATGGAGTAACATACAGAGTAATGGAATAACATGGAGTCAAGAAATAAGTCAAAGAATAACATGGAGTCAAGAAATAAGTCAAAGAATAACATGGAGTCAAGAAATAAGTCATAGAATAACATGGAGTCAAGAAATAAGTCAAAGAATAACATGGAGTCAAGAAATAAGTCATAGAATAACATGGAGTCAAGAAATAAGTCAAAGAATAACATGGAGTCAAGAAACAAGTCAAAGAATAACATGGAGTCAAGAAATAAGTCATAGAATAACATGGAGTCAAGAAATAAGTCATGGAGTAACATACAGAGTAATGGAATAACATGGAGTCAAGAAATAAGTCATAGAATAACATGGAGTCAAGAAATAAGTCAAAGAATAACATGGAGTCAAGAAACAAGTCAAAGAATAACATGGAGTCAAGAAATAAGTCATAGAATAACATGGAGTCAAGAAATAAGTCATGGAGTAAAGTACAGAGTCGTGGAATAACATATGGAGTCAAGAAATAAGTCAAAGAATAACATGGAGTCAAGAAACAAGTCAAAGAATAACATGGAGTCAAGAAATAAGTCGTAGAATAACATGGAGTCAAGAAATAAGTCAAAGAATAACATGGAGTCAAGAAACAAGTCAAAGAATAACATGGAGTTAAGAAATAAGTCATAGAATAACATGGAGTCAAGAAATAAGTCAAAGAATAACATGGAGTCAAGAAATAAGTCAAAGAATAACATGGAGTCAAGAAATAAGTCAAAGAATAACATGGAGTCAAGAAATAAGTCATAGAATAACATGGAGTCAAGAAATAAGTCATGGAGTAACGTACAGAGTCATGGAATAATATATGGAGTCAAGAAACAAGTCAAAGAATAACATGGAGTCAAGAAATAAGTCAAAGAATAACATGGAGTCAAGAAACAAGTCAAAGAATAACATGGAGTCAAGAAACAAGTCAAAGAATAACATGGAGTCAAGAAATAAGTCGTAGAATAACATGGAGTCAAGAAATAAGTCAAAGAATAACATGGAGTCAAGAAACAAGTCAAAGAATAACATGGAGTCAAGAAACAAGTCAAAGAATAACATGGAGTCAAGAAATAAGTCATAGAATAACATGGAGTCAAGAAATAAGTCAAAGAATAACATGGAGTCAAGAAATAAGTCAAAGAATAACATGGAGTCAAGAAACAAGTCAAAGAATAACATGGAGTCAAGAAATAAGTCATAGAATAACATGGAGTCAAGAAATAAGTCATGGAGTAACATACAGAGTAATGGAATAACATGGAGTCAAGAAATAAGTCATAGAATAACATGGAGTCAAGAAATAAGTCATAGAATAACATGGAGTCAAGAAATAAGTCATAGAATAACATGGAGTCAAGAAATAAGTCATGGAGTAACATACAGAGTAATGGAATAACATGGAGTCAAGAAATAAGTCAAAGAATAACATGGAGTCAAGAAATAAGTCAAAGAATAACATGGAGTCAAGAAATAAGTCATAGAATAACATGGAGTCAAGAAATAAGTCAAAGAATAACATGGAGTCAAGAAATAAGTCATAGAATAACATGGAGTCAAGAAATAAGTCAAAGAATAACATGGAGTCAAGAAACAAGTCAAAGAATAACATGGAGTCAAGAAATAAGTCATAGAATAACATGGAGTCAAGAAATAAGTCATGGAGTAACATACAGAGTAATGGAATAACATGGAGTCAAGAAATAAGTCATAGAATAACATGGAGTCAAGAAATAAGTCAAAGAATAACATGGAGTCAAGAAACAAGTCAAAGAATAACATGGAGTCAAGAAATAAGTCATAGAATAACATGGAGTCAAGAAATAAGTCATGGAGTAACATACAGAGTAATGGAATAACATGGAGTCAAGAAATAAGTCATAGAATAACATGGAGTCAAGAAACAAGTCATAGAATAACATGGAGTCAAGAAACAAGTCATAGAATAACATGGAGTCAAGAAATAAGTCATAGAATAACATGAAGTCAAGAAATAAGTCATGGAGTAAAGTACAGAGTCGTGGAATAACATATGGAGTCAAGAAATAAGTCAAAGAATAACATGGAGTCAAGAAATAAGTCATAGAATAACATGGAGTCAAGAAATAAGTCATGGAGTAACATACAGAGTAATGGAATAACATGGAGTCAAAAAATAAGTCATGGAGTAACGTACAGAGTCATGGAATAATATATGGGGTCAAGAAATAAGTCATAGAATAACATAGGGAGTGTTCACTTGGGACCTATCAACAGGTAGCATGGTCTACCTCTCACCTTATTAACTGCCTATGTGGCCGTTGGAACTATTTTTTGTTTCACGCCCACACAGATATTGCACCAATCAAAATACCTACATTGTCGTTCCATAAAGGAAATCCCCAAATGTAGAGGGCACTGGCAAGGCAGAAAAATAAACACTTCTTTTATGGTGATTGCACACATGAACTTTCATTTCACCTCAACATGAAATAATGTCATAACTACAGCCTGACAATTACACTGAATCTTATGTAAGCTTGTGTGCTATTTACAAATTGTGCAGATTTCTCTTGACAGTGCTTCCTAAATAAACCACATAATTCACCCTATCACAAGTAGAGTTGATGAATTTCTGAAATGATTTAAGGCAATGTAACCAGATGGGATCATCAGAGTGGGTTTTCCTTACAGGCTTGTAGCCCTTAGTGTAATCCATGATAATTTTGTTCTTTCTGCCTGTTGGCATCCCAATATTCTCCATCATGGTTGTAAAGCAGCGTGTTTCTCTAAACAGAGGAGCCTTTATCTTGTGAAATGTTGCACCTGTGCCCGTTACAGGGTGAACAGCTTTGGCAGAAAGCCCCTCTCTCCCTCCTGTCCTGTTGTTGGCCATTTGGAATCTAGAGGAATCCCAGGTATGCGGACAATCTCTGTAGCCATTGACGAATTTCTGTCTTCAGGCTGGGGAAACACACATACACACATACACACACACACACACACACCTTGGCTCAGCTCAGCTCGGCTCGGCTCGACTCAGCTCGGCTGTCATCATCAGCTTGTCAGCGAGCCGCACCTGTGAATGGTAACAAGACTCCGTGGCTCGCAGCGCTGTCATAGCTGCCTGACAGACTCAAGAGATCAATTTCCTACAGCAGAGAAAGCACAGGGAATGGAAAAAAGTCGGCCTCAAATTTTAAATAAGAAGCACCATAACATATCTTTGCATTAAAAAAACCACAATCAGATTTAAAGTAACAAAAAATCTGTGCACATATTGATAAACAACAACCATAGGTGTCTAAAAGAGGACAGAGGCTGTCTCTATGTAACTTCCTGTGTACATGCATGCATTTTGTGGTTAACACAAAAAATTTGTCATTGAGGTGTCAAATGCAACAGCAGAACACCTAAGCATCTTTCAAGGCTCTCCAATACTCTGATTGCAACACTGATCTAACAGTAAAAAATCTTAGATTTAACCAGAAGGTCGCCAGTTTGTGCACATAATTCAGTGTTATGGGTCAGAAACATAACTTTGTCATCCACCTATCCTGAGTAATGTCTTCTGCTTGCAGGAATGTATCTCTCTTATTATGGAAAAAGTGGTATTTCTCTAAGATTCTACATACAGAACAGCAGATAATTCATTGTAAAATGGTGTTTATTCAAATTTTTTATTGTTACTATTTCATATATGCACTGGATTTCGCCACCATAAATGTCATGTACACTGGGGACGCTGGGGACATGTCTCTACCACTTTTAGAAAATGGCGCCATCACTTTTTGAAAGCATTTGTAAAAATGTTCTGTAAAATAAATGTTAAATAACAAACCTTGGGCAAGGATTATTTTCAAAAAAACAAAGAAACAAATGTGCATTGTCCAAAAGAAGTAACTTAAGCTAATATTTTGATTTGTCACCTGCCCCCTGAATTTATATAAATAAACACATTTCCACCATAAATCGGTGCAGAAAATATAGAAATGAAGTGTTTAATGCTCAAAGTTTTCTGGGGGACTGTACCCAGACCCCCCACACATATTGCATCATTTAACATTTCTTGAAAATAGCGTTAAAATGTTTTCTTGTGTTCTCATGAACCCACACCGTCACATCTCGTGAGCTAAGTGTATTGTCACACCCCTGATCTGAGCCCTGATAGCCCCACCACTTTTCAGAGCAAAGTGACGTCCTTGTTCGCCACACAGCTGACCTGTAAGCTGTCATTTTAGCATGAAACGAAACTGGAAGAAACCAATGCAGTTGAAAAATTTGACCCAGTTGAATTTCAACGAATACAGCATTTTAAAGTACGACTTAGAAGTGAGACTATGCAACTTTTTGCAGAACAGCAATAGTGATGTTTCCATCCGAATTTAGTGCAGATCTTAACTGAATTTCAAAACAAGTTGGCTAGAATTCCAGGGTAATCTCAACTCCCCATTAGTGTGTTTAACAGTATGTGTGAATAGCAAGTAATATCCAGGCCAAATATCAAGGTTTATTAAAGCTAAAAACACATGCCTGGAGGTCTCAAGTGTATTTCAGTATTTGAAACTTAATGGCACATTTCAGTTCAGTGCAGCCTGTCTTAGTTACAGTCTTTTAACCTCGAAGACATACCCAATGCATCATTAAGTTTGAGCCATAGCAGGGGGGGGGGATCTGTTTTTAATGGAGCTGAATGGCACACAGGTTGATCATATCTTTTTCTTCCACAGCTCAGTTCCACATGATCTCACTCCCTCTCTCCTCGCCCCGGGTCTGCAGCTTACAATGGAAAGGATGAAAATGGAGAGATATATAGTAATATCACCCAGCAATTCCTCTGAACTCGCCGCCGGCACAGTCTGCCTGTTTCTCAACATGCACACAGTGACACGGTGGTCAGCTTACAGCTAGGATGAAGGACATTAGCTGAACAGTTTTTTGTTTTTACATTGTCCTCTTCTTCATGCCTGAGCGGATTTTAACAGTGTGCGTGTGTTGTATTGTAGTATGCCACATAATTTTTCTTTACCACAGCACCAGTTACGTCTGCTTAGATTTGACTTGCAAAAAGCCCTCACTCTCCTTTCTTGTGCTGCAATTTGAATAATTCCATCCGGGTCTCAATGACACTATTCAGGTGGGGGGTGACGTGATGTCACTGAGGTGAATGGGGGCACCTGAAAAGGGGGAAGTTGACTTGCAAATGTGGCCATAAAAAGAAACAAATACTCAAATATGGAAATATATTTGCCTGTTACATGCCTTGCTTCTGACTGTTTCCCCACTGTATCAACAGAACATTGCGACATGAATGAAATATTAGGAATTTATTAGTTTAGGTAGTTATTAGTTAACTTTTTGTTATAGCCAAGCAATGCCTGTTCCTGACCTTGTTTCATTTGAGTAGTTTTTAGGGTTCCGGAGAGGGAAAAGTCTGCAGCGTTTGGCTGAAGCTATCCTCTCCCCACAGAACGTAAATTGTCACTGCATCATTCACAGTCTGTTCGTGATTAGGCCTACACGGAGGCATCCACATGTGCGTGCACCCTCCCAAAAAACACACACATAATTGACGGCATGGCACGCGGACGCGCACTAAATGCGATGTGGTATAGTGAGCTGTCAGACCGCACTAATTCCTCTTTTTATGTGTGTCTGTCCTACTGTGTAGCGGAGGGATCAGGATTGCCTTTCAGGATAACAACTGAAGCCCTAAGCTCTTGGTGGGTGTGGGTGTGTGTGTGTGTGTGTGTGTGTGTATCTGGGTGAGCAACAATTGGCCGCTAAGCTTAGTAAAGAGCCTTGCAGCCACGGTGTCGCCAACAAATATCCACTGGCTGTCAGCAACGGACCTGACTCTGTTGTGTGTGTATAGGTGTGTGTACATGTGCAGATGAGCCAACTTCCTGTGGTGGATTGAAGTTAAGTGCTGCTATTAGACTTAGGCCTCCAGTCGGCCTTCATTGTCTGGGCAAAAGACTTGATTATGCTGGCAGAAACACACGTGTGCAAGAATACACATGCATATATGAACATTAGCACACATGCACGGTTACAGGTCCATTTTTTTTTAAACATGAGCAAAGACTTACCTGCAGCCTTCTGCAGCCTTATTTGCTCTCTTTGCTGCTGTAATCTTCTTCCTCAAGGCATAACAGTAGTTCAGCTGTGAGTGAGACGGAGCTGAGTTGCAAAAGATTTTGATTTTTTACTTGCGGGCGCGCCCCAGTAATTCACCTCAAAAAGCTTTAGGCCTACGCTCTCCCAAAGCTGCAGAGGTGAGCGTAGCTCTTAGCTGCTCTGTAAAAAGTGAATGTGAAACTTGAAAAAGGGCAAACGTTGAAATATATCAGGAGCAATTTTGGACATTTTCATGACTTGGGATTTGTCACTTAGCAGTGTGAAAAGGCTGTGCGGCCAAGATTTGGTCATTTCTTCCATATTCTGCGATACAACGGGTGCTATCTGTACATCAATCAACCAAGTACATAGTGAAGCAGAGGACAAACTCAATGGAAAGTACAGCCACAGTCAGGTGGTGGTGGTGTGGGGTGCACTGTAGCTTTGAGCTCTAGATGTGTTCATCTCTCTGCCGCCCACATCGGAAAACAAGAGAGAAAAGTTCAGCTTCTGAGAAAAGGTTTTCACTTGTAGAGAGAAGGTGTGGTGACTTTTTTTTTTTTACACCTACAGTACATTCTGTAGTCTCTCTTTACAGCCACGTGGACATGTTGAACTGGCGTTTCTGCTGCAAGAGAGCACTTTAAAATGTTTAAAACTTTAATTTGATCTATTAAAAGTTGGGTTTAAAAATCGGACGCTTTTGTGAAAACACAGAATGCATCTTCTCGGATTTGGTCATCGAGGCCTAGTAACTCAAAGAAAGCCTGAGTTTATGCTGTCGTCAGTGCTAAACTTGATAAAACCACAGCCACTTTCACGAAAACAAAAGAGAGAAGAACACGTTCACTCCACAGATGGTTCTGTCTATTAGACAGAAAAGCACTCGTTTTCACAGTCAGGGAGTTGCCCACAGAACCGCAATTCAACAAAAGGGAAGAAAACAATTAGCCTCTGCTGGTGGCAAAGTAAAATAACTATAAAACAAGTTAAAGAATAATTAGTTTATTTATTGTTTATTGAGTCCAAGTGCAGAGTCAGGTGGATACAAATACAATTATGACGGTTAAAGCTACCCAGTGGTAAAGTAATAAAAAATTAGCCCCGCCGAAAATAATTACCTGAATCTGCATTAATAGCCTACACATTATTCTGAAATAACCCATTCTGCATAATGACTACTTTTACTTTTCAGTATATTGAACATATATAGCATATATATTAGTATATAGTATATTTTGATGCTGATACTTTTGCACATGTGAATTTTTGAGTGCAGGACTTCTAACTTGTAACACAGTATTTCTACACGGTGGTATTGCTACTTTTACTTCACTTACTTCTTCCACCGCTGCCAGGGAGTGAGTAAGTGTGAGGTGCAGAGTTAAAGAAATTACTTTGCAGAATAAATATTTTTACAGTTTTAGATTACAGCATGAACCTTAAAGCTCAATACAGTATGATGCACTGTCACTGTTTAAACTAGATGAGGCAGTTGGGAAGTATTACGTGCAAAGCACTATGGAGCAATAATGTGAGAATTTTACTTACATACTACACTTTTGTGCATCTCACAGTGGATACTTTTATACTTAAACATCTTTTATTGCACGTTCTGAATGTATACAGCATGTTTAGCCTAATATATTGTCATGCTGGATCACACTTTTTGCAACATTTCAACTTGAAACAAAAGTTGCAACAAACAGGTTAGGAAAGCATTTTGCAGGAAATATGAAAACACATTTTATTGCTCTCCAATCTTTATATTTTTATGTAAATAACGCTTTCATCTCCATCGCCCCCCCCTGCACTCCCCCCTCCTCCCCCTCACAGTGCTGTTTGATTGCCTAAGCCTGGCCGTCAGACAGACAGACAATGCATCCATGAAGAACAGCCTCGCTTCCTTCCTGTCTTCCTGTGCTGCGTTCTGCCTTGGTGAGCAGGGTGAATAGGCCGCTGTGCCCCACAGCCGCCATGAGCCGCAGGGGCCATGGCGGCTAAAACCAACAAAGAGAGCCGTTCTGGGCCCTATTTTTTTTTCTTCGATTCACATCCCCCCTTCTTCCTCCTCCTCCTGCTCCAGCTCTCTCTCTGCTGCCAAATCACTGGGACTGCCGGGCAGATAAACAATCTCTCTCCGTCTTTCTTGTTTTTATCCTTTTCTGCACTAATTCTCACTTTTTTTTTCAGTTTATTGGTCGAGTCTGTGCATGCATGGTATTTGCCTAGGAGGGCTTCTCATGAACTCCAGTAGACTATGTTTGTTGTTGTTGTTGATGGTTTGTTTGTTTATGAGCATATTCTTGATTTAAAATCAGCCCAAGAAGCTATAGAAACAAGTTTCTTTGGGATGTAACGAACATTGGGTTACCCTTGTCCTTAAAGAGGTGGGTAGCATTATTGCCAAGAAACCCTTCCAGATCTGAAGCAAACTGAAAACAAAGGAAGTGAAATGACCCGAGAAAATCCAATCAGGGCTCTTATGACTTCCAAACACTTTTTGATCTAAGTGTGCAATTTTTACCGCTGAACATTTTAGTCATAGATGAGATGCAGACTTGAAATAGAGACCAACATGTAGCTATAAAACGGAAACCGCTCATGAAATGGGGTCAATGTGGATTTGAGCTGTAAAAATGACTTTTTTTCTCATTAGCGCTGGTGTAAATACAACCTCCTTTTGCTTTTAAACCTAACAGACAGCTAAACTATTTTTTCTTCAACACATCCACCAGATTGCCCACCTCCCCCTCTCAACGCCCAACAAGACAACCATCTCCCTATGGGAATACCAAGTAGGAGCAGGTAGCTGAGAGGAGCATTGGGGAGCCAGAATGACCCCCCCGACTATTGAAAACAGGATGAATGCATGCCGGGCTGAATACGGGAGTAAACTGTTAGGTCTTTGTCATTCAAAGTGATGCTTTTAACCCTTTGCGGTCCCTCTTCCTAACAACCCACCCCCTCCTCCTCCACAACCACCCTGTCCCTCTTCATTCACAGCTGAGACAATGGTGGGAGAGGAGGCCTGCGACTGGGACGATAAAGACTAAAACACAAGATCAACTGTCTCTAATGGGATTCTGCCGGTTACGTTTCCATCTCCTGCACCACCACTGTAAAATCTCCTGCACCACCACTGTAAAATAGGTGAAAGTTAATAATTACCCCCCACCCAGCCCATCAGCCAAACACTGGGGATGAATAACAAACAAGTGAGCGCAGGTTGGGCCTCGGCATGTCAATCACAGTTCTGAATGCATACCGTGCCGCAAACACGTCCGTATGCTGTCAACAAGTGTCAGGGGCTTATGTTTCAGGCTTATGTTTCGCCTGCAGGGACATTCAAAACCAAGGAATTCTTGAACAAACCTTTGAGAAAAATAAAAATAAAAAAGCATGGAGGAAAAAAAAGGGCCTAGTATCTGCAGGATCCTGAGGAACGTGTAGGAAATTATCCAGGCCCAGGGAGTAATGGTAGGCTTACGTGAATGCATATTTGCTAAAAACAAAACAAACAAACAAAAAAAAAAAAACAGGTGGAGTGCTTGATTTATGAGATTAAAAAAAGAGAAGTGATAGAATTTGGAGTGCATGCAAACAGATGTGCACATTCCTATACACATGGCTTTGCCAGAGCCAGATGTTTTTTTCTGAAAAGGGCCCTAGGTGAACATTAATGCGTCTTTTTTTTTTTCTTGCTTGATCTCTGTAAGCTTCACGGAGTGATTGTGCTGCAGAGACACAATGGCAGAACAGGGGCTGATGATAGCTCTGCTTGAGACGTTCGTGCAGAGGTTCAATTAAAACTGCAGAGAACGGTGCTTAAGCCTGCCCCTTAAACCACCTGGAAGACATCTCAAATAAAAGTGCAAACCCAGACAAAACTGCCTCTTCTGTATGTTTAGTTAGTGGTGTAAAAAAAAAAAAAAAAAAAAAGGGGACAAAAAGTATGTTAGTAACTATATTATGAAGTAACATTATGGCCTTCAAGTCATGAAAATACTTTCCATGTTTGAAACGTTCACATGTCAAACATTTTATAATTTTCTCCATCACCTGACTGTGACATGAACATGTTTTAAAGAGCACTTAAGAACACAAGACAAGGCAGAAAACTGTCAGACTTCAAGGTTGTTTAATTTCAAACGTTAATATATTTGTCTTCTAATTCAGAGTGAACTATTCATTCAGCTTTGACACTCCTACGAGTCACCTCAAAAACTACAGAATAGCCCCATTAAGAGGTGACACATTAACAATGCTTTCTCAAAATAAATATATTTCATTATAAAATAATAAACCTTCAAATAAATATAGATTTTTAACTTTACACTAAGCAATGTTGGAATTAGAAAATAAATTTTTCAATATAAGGTCACTGTACAATTTACAAGCAGAAGGGTAGGACTTTTCCTTTGCAAATTACATAAAATGATTGACATGTATTCCAGTGAATGTACAAATATTGTGTGACTGAAGATGATCTATGATTTATCAAGGTGCCTCTGGAACGGCAGAAAACTTTCACAGTTGAAGTATTATATGTACAAAAATATAACATCTGTCAAACTAATTTTCTAATGTACATACCATTTGCATCGACTACTTTACATACAGTTAGTAATAGGAGTCTGTTCTTAGCATATAAGTTTTATTAAATGTTAAAAAAAAGGGCTATCCTTTTGGACTCTCGTGACAACAACACGGCCTCTTGGCAGTTGAGTGAAATGATCTTTCAGGACAAAAGTAGTAGTTGAATATGTCTTCATACCTTTTAATATGTGAAGCGCTTATTTTGGTTTGCCTTTCAAGAGGAACTCTTAATTCTAGGTTGAGTGAGCGCACCTCCAGTGCCATTATCAACCTTAATAGCTGACAATTCAAGGCAAAATATGACTGTATCTCTGCCCAGAAAACACAAAACCTCGACAGTATCACAAGCTCTTCAAACAAACCTTTCAACTACAGAACAAGAGGGCCCAAACATCAGTTCAGTCATTTTCCATCCTTCTGTACTTTCACACACACAACATTCTTGTCTACGTTGGCTTGCCGGCATTCGCGTGGCGGATTGGATTTGTGTTCTTGCACCGACAGCCGGGTCGTGTTACTCGGTCATGGCAGCACTGGCATGCGGCGACACATCCTTTAGCTGGGAGGTAGCACAAGAGACAGGGGAAGAGCAGGGAGAGGAGCGACACAGTGGCCCAGCGGGCGCAGCAGTGCGACTGCGTACACGAGAAGGGCTTGTCGGCGCACGTGTCCTCGTCGTCACTGGAGCAGTGGTAGAAGAGCCCCTTGACACAGCAGACGCATGTCCCGTACTCCACCGCACTCTGCAGCGAGCACACGCACCGATGGCTGCACATCCAGCAGGAAGGAAGCACCCGCGGCCGACGGCACTCTGAACAGCAGCACCGACCACAGTCCTCACACTTGGTGGAGTGTACACCTTGATTTTTAGAGGCCCTGCTGCCCAGCACAACCACCACCTCCCTGGAGTCATTCGTCAGGGGTTTCAGCTCTTCTGAATTAAGCTCTGCACATTTGGGCTGGGTTCTGATTATCTGGTTGCTGCCTGCCGGGCTGCTGAGGAGTCTCTGGCCTGAAGAAGTGCTCCCCACGCTGGTCCTGATGCTACTCTGTGAGTCCTCTGCGCTGGAGGACCGCAGCAAACCCTCCCTAGAAGAGATGGAAGTATTTGGGTTTCCATACTGAGTCAGGTTGTGGAGATTATTAGGCCTCTCTTCCCGGGTCTCCTGCAGCCCACTGGTCCTTGAACCTGGCGACGTAACCAAGTCACTCTTCTGTTGTTTATGCTCAGAGGCCGGAGACCTTTGGGCAACTGTGGGCCCTTCTGTGTACTCATTACTACACCCACTTATCCTGATCTGATCCAGAGATAGCACTGCTGGAGTCTGGGGCGGCTGCCCATTGGTCAATGCAGGATGTGGCAGACCATCGTGGCCTTGCAGAGGCCGTGGTTGCGGTCTCCCTTCGTCATGCAGCGTTTCTGGCGAGCCAGTGGATGATGCCGACCTCCCGTGGCTTCCTCCTCCCCCATCGCTGTCGCTCTGACTTCTGGAATCCATCTCGGGACTGAAGGGCCACTCTGGCTGGCATGGGACACATCTGAAGTCCTGGAAAAAAAGCAGACAGTTTATAGCAGTCTGTGAGAAGCCATGCAAATGATGCCATGCAAATCTTAACGATATCTATACAAGCCCGGCTATGGAAATGTGGCTTAACAAGCATATCGGTGTTGGGAAAAGAGATGACGTGTTTGATTACATAGCTGGCATAGTGTTTGGAGCTGGTAGTGAGGGATGGTCGGGCCTTTAGAGTCAGCTTTTGGAGACTTGCTTTCAGCCCGGAGTGGGTCTGTGGAACTACAGCTATACTATAAAAAACAAATGATAACAAAGGTTTGTTTACTCAAAGCTGATTCCAGTTCCAGATCCAGGCTTTATATGTTTAAGAACGGATACCTTCCCTGCCAGCTGCCTGCAGTTTGCGGAAACTTCCCATTTACCCACACCTGTGACACAGGAATGGCATATCTAAGCAAGGACAGAAAATTTGCTTGGACTCGTGAGCTGAAAACACTTGATGGGCAGAAAGTTAATCTGAGGGTAAACCAGGGACTGTAACATCCCTAGTTTCAAGTCAGGCCGGGGATCTTTGTTGCAGCTCTGTCCCTCATTTGCTGTTGTCTCTCCACTGCCTGCAAGGCCTACAATGCAGCGATTCAAACTTAACAAATGTATATCCTGGTTCTTTTAGTCTTTTTTCTGCCATTTTCATGAATCACAAGATTTGAGAAAATAATCAATATTAATAGATTAGTCAATTAATCACTCGACCAAATATTAATCAGCAACTCTGTTAATAATCGAATATTCACTTTATTTTAAGCAACAGTATCAATGCTTCTCTTGGTCGTGCATGACAGTAAATTGAAAATTGTTGGGTTTTTGCCTGTCGCTCAGACAAAACAAGACATCTGAAGGAGGGAATTTTTCCACTACCATTTTATAGGCAAAACCATTACTGTAGAAAATAATCAGCAGATTATTCGACAATCAAAACAATTGTAAATTGCAGCGTTATTGAAGGGACACATGCTTATACTTCTAATGTAACGACAACGTGTCAAACGGTGTGTAATATGGATTTACAATGTTCTCCAAAAAAAATATTTTGGAGGATCAATATTTCCATTCTCGGAGGCTGTCTATGGCATTGATCAAAGTTGCATAGGGAAGTAGGGTACTTTTGTGAAGTATGATAAGTCAGCCATGGAAAGTTAATAAAAGCATGTGTAAGGAGTAGGAGGAAAAGGAGGAACAAGGGAACAAAATGGGCTTTTGGTTCAATGTTGGGCAGCCCTCTGGCGTAAGGCTTCTTTACTGTACGCGTACAAGTTCCTCACCTCGAACAAAATTTCTGACCTCTAGCCCCAGATCAGTTATAATCTCAGGGCTGCATCATATGGAGAAAATAAGTTAGCACTCACATATTCAAACGCAGAGCCTTGTTTTCACCAGCACATCACACCAAAGCAAAGAACATGCCAGCGGTGGTCTTAACTCTTCTTCCTTGTGGTAATTAGCTTTCAAATGCCGTGTTTGGGGCTGCGACGTTCCCGCCTTTCAATGACAATACAGGAAGGGCCTTTGTTTGTTGCATGACAAACGGCCCCACAGCACCACCCCCCCCAACCCATGTTACGTTGTGACGCTCTTGAAAAGAATGACTGATAAGATTTAAAAAAAAAAAAAAAAAAAAAGTTTGCATGCAAGGGTGGTGGGAGTGAAGCACTGCTCTCTGAGAGCACGCATGAGGGTTCTTTAGGATGTATGGAACTTTTTGTTGCTCCAGATGAAGGGCTTGCAGGCACACTCAAATTTGAACCTGTTAGGAGGTGGGGGGACAACTGTGTGCAAGTCATGTTGGCCATAGTGGGTGGGTGCAGTGTGGGGGCAGGCGAGGGGGAAACTGACGGCATCCATTCTTTAAAATGACAGGTTAAAACATTTTATAATATCTCTCTCTTATTGTTATTTCTTTTTTATTTTGTCCCTCATTGACTGTGGTATTTTATTTAATCTTTCTCTCTGTGAAGCACTTTGTTTTGATAAGTGCTCTCTAAATAGAGGTTATTAGTGTTATTATTTGAAAAGACCAAAAACGACATGGCTGCAGTTACAACTTTGCTCAGTATGTTGAGTTATGAGTAATGTTGTTTCTGATACACAACTGATAGTTGTTTTCTTGTTTTCCTCTGTGTGCAGCAGATGTGTGCAAGTATTCTTGAGTGGAGAAAAGTATTGTCACACAGGTTCAGCAGATGTATTGTTGAGGGGAGGGGGGGCAGGGTAGGCTATATATGAATGCACATGAGCAAACACATGTGCAAACTTGGACACGACTACTTCCCAATAAATCAGTGAGATTGACAACTGAATTAACGTTAGACATTAGACTCAGCCCCGGGACAGGCTGATTTTAGATACAGAGACCCGTCTTCATTGCAGAACCACTGCACTTTTAATTTAAAATAGTAAGACAACACTTTCTGTTGTTAAAACAATAACATTTTAACGTCACGTAAGCTAAAAAAAGAGTTGGATGGAGGCTACATATGTTAGAAAAAAACTACGGGAAAAAGTTTTTTTTTACACATACATGACTTCACCCAAAAAATACGTAGTTTAGAAAAAAAAACAAAGAACAAAACAAAAAACAGTAGCCTATTCACTACAGCTTGAGTTTTACAATAGGAAACACCTACCGTGTTTTCGACACTTTAGCCCCCGTCTAGGTGAAATAGATCCAGTTTGACAGACAGTGTATTCCCTACATCAGCAGCTCAAGTCTGGAAAGCCGTCGGTAAAATCCATTGAGAAAGTTTCCAAGCGGAGCGCATTTTTCAACAAAAAAGCAGTTTTAAGACGTAAATCTCGTGTTTTGCGCGAGAGCACGAGGCATTAAAACATGCGAAACCTTCAATCAATCATCGCCGGAACGTGCAGACGTAGCTCGAGTCTTGAAACAAGGAGAAGAAGAAAGGGGGGAAATGGAGAGGCGAGCGACAAAACTCCAGCGCAGAAGTAAGTTTTAATTCGGTGTGTTTTATCCGCAAGGCTATAAGGGTTTGCAAGTAGTCTACTTTTTCTCGCGTGTGCGTCTGTTTTTTTTTTTTTTTTTTGCTCTTTCCGGAGGGGAGGTCGGGATTTGGGCTGTAAATGGCGTCAAGCTGAAGGGGTAACAGAGTGCTTGTTGTTGCAGCGGATATCTCGCATCCGGTGCGCAGCCATTGGCTGCTCGACAGCAGCCATTCACACCCAGCAGTCTAATCAATTCTACTGCAGGAGCCCAAACACTGCTGGGCATCTGCCGTGGACACAGGAAGTCAAGTATTTCTCATCGTCGGCCGACCCATTTTCTTTGAAGCAGCACTTTACATGTCACTCACCTGAAACCAATTTGGTACAGCAGTTGAATGCTGGTAGGTTAGTTTTGGGATAGTACAAGTTTCACATAGGCTGCAAATAAAAATCGCTATTTACGAACTTGCTACAAATAAACAAGCAAAAAGCAATACATTTGATTAGACTTTTGAAATATTGTAAAAACAAAAAACGTTTCATGAGACAAGATGTTTTTTAAATTCTAACTCATTAAATGTGGTTGCATACCTGTATGGTGCAAAGTAACAATTTTGAGATACTTGTACTTAGTATTTACTTTATACTTCAACTCCACTACGTTTCATTGAGAAATATTGTTCTCCCACTACCTGACAGCTACAGTTATTTTTTACATACAAAATATGTTGCATTGTTATAGATCAAACTACCCAGCAGTAGCCTATATAATGGAATTGGCTCCACCAGCTACAACATTCAAATGCTGGATATGTGTTAATTCATCTGTTGTAATAACAACCCAATATTATAATATAGATAATTCTGAAAGGGGTCATTCTTCATCATACATCAACATTTTGATACTTTCAGCAGATTTTACTTTGAATAAAATTGAAAGCAGGACTTTAAATACACAGTTCTTACACTGTTGAATTGCTTCTTTTTGCCACAATGTCCATAAGGTATGCAATGAATGGAGTAGAAGTATAAAGCAAAAAAATGGAAATGCTTCAGTACATTAAAATTGTACTTGAGTTGTCTTCTCAAAGGGCAATGGAGTAATTTTCCATGTACATATTGACTTGCCTTTTACTTACAAGGTGGTGTGTTAATCATACAGGACAGCCCTAGACATTTAACTCATTCTAAACCATTTGAGGCTCTTTGCCAGGCTGCTATTGATTTAAAAGCAATCCATAGGAACTGATGAAACTAATTAACAAGCCAATACTGGTTACTCTCAGCTGTTGTGAATAATAGTGGAGCAGCACCCCCCTGTGGACTTCCTCTGATAATGCAGACTGAAATCACTAGAGGCAAAATTTGACATTTCTAAAAAGTCAATAGAAACCATCAGATATTTTTAAATGTCACGACCACCATCTGGAAAGTATTTTAATAATTTACATTAAAGAATGATGGTCTCTGTGTTACAGCAATTTACTCCAACGCACAATTATTTCCATACATGGTCATACATACATGCATACTTACAGTTAGAGTTCTTTTATTGTCATTCATCCACATACAAAGTATACAAATGAATGAAGGCTAGAAACAAGGTCACAACAATCAACTTAGAAGATGCCATAACAACTCAATAACTGACAGACAAAAAGAGCAGATCTATTTCTGATTGCACTTTAACTCCAACTTCTTTCCCTAGGTATTTACCCCATTGATGCGATTAATGCCATTAGCGCTTACTAGTATTTATCGCTGCTTTTATTAATATGTATCGTCAGTTGTAGATCTCGTGCTGTATTTTATGCTCGGTTAATGATTGTATGTTGTTCCTCAAATGTAAGACGCTTTGGATAAAAGCATCTGCCAAATGAGTAAACGTAAATGAAATGTAAATGTAGGGTGGAGTGAACATGGTTGCTATACATGAACATGTGTCGGGGAATGTGAAACTTTAACATGCTCGAGTCTGACAAAAAACATGAAAAAAAAGATTTGAATCAATAAGTTCGATATTACATTAAAGGCAGAAGTCAGTGTGCTCTGTAGAAAAGTCAAGTCACACTCGCACATGTCTTAAAAGTAAGGCTCCAAACAGTATTACCAGCTATGAATATGAAACATTTTCCAAAAATATATACAACAAATTAGGCTTTCCTGAGCCTCTCTTCCCCATCTCCTCTATTTCAGTAATAGAATTCCACACAGATTAGTTTGAAGTCGTGAAGACCACACCGCTGCGGGAAGTCACTTTAATCATATCAGAGTATGACCTGGCAAATTAACCTCTTTCTTTGAACAATATATCTTGCTTTGTTTTTCCTGTCTCACTGGCTGCTGTGCATTTACCTTGAAAGAAAATAATGTAAATTATAACATGGTCACATCTGGAAGATAACAAAATTGTTTTATTCCTGGCTGTTGAATCTAAATACACAAAAGTAAGGAGAATTATTATTTTTTTAAATTGTTATTTTGATGGTCAACTCACTCGGGGCTCACACACACGTGTTTTCACACATTGCCCGATTAAACCTCTTGGGTGGGGCAGTCCGCATGAATAAGTTCAACTGTGACACGTGCTGTCTTGACCGTACTGACCTTTGAGGGTACCGCCGGAGAGGAGGATAGAGGAAGCTATTGTAGCTAAATAGCTGTGCTGCACCATCCAATTCTATTTAACCTCCACTGGTGAAGGAAAAACTGTTCTGTAAAAGTCATATTTGCAGACAGTAATGAGACAGGACATGGTACAAGTAGGTCTTTAATAAACTTTGTGAACTTATGGTCCCATTTGTCTGAGCAAAGCTAACAAGTTTGCTAACTGATCACTAGCAAGCTTGTTAGCTCGGAGAGTTTATTTCCCTCTTCAATAACTTTCTTTAATGAAACCGATGGCCACAGCCATGGCCACACAACCAGCTTAAAAGCAGTAACCTCATGCACTTCTCCTTAGTTTATATACATTTTTTCATACACATTACACCTTGTTGCAAACATTTATTTAGGTACAAATAACTCACAAGGACACTTAGTTTCTTTCACATACATTATACTTTATTTAGTTGACCATACAAAAAGTTTCTTTCTGGATCTATCTTTTTGGAGCTTTTATTTACTTTTGAATTGACTCTTTCGGTTTCTATAGCTATTTTCTTTTGAGCTTACCAGTGTTGGATTCCACACCCTGGAAGGATCCATGCAGTCTGCTGGCTTAAAGGGGTGGTGGCTGGAGCAGGAGCAGCTTTATAGGGGAGGTGGCCTAATTGGACACTACCACTGCTTGTTATGTCCAGGAGGGGTAGCGTTGTTCTCTCCCTAGATATTTTGAGGTTTAGATTTATATTATATTGAGTATTTTTGTTGAGTTAAGGTTAAGTAAGATTACATTTCTTTTGGAATAAGTTTTTAGGTAAGGTAAACAGAACAGGACAGAGACTGACTGACCTAGCGCTAGCCCGGCCGGACAAATCCAAGCACTTGTTTCCTGTTTCGGTGTGATCTGACCCTTGTTCAAATTTGACAGTGCAGATATGGACGGCCATCCAACAGAAACACTGATGCACTGTGTTTTGAAATGTAGAAGTCATTATTCCAGCTGTGTGTTTCCACCTAATTTGAACAATATCACACAACAAACACGCAAGCATCACTCCCAGACTGTTTAAAGTTTCTGATCGCTTTGACATGACATTAAATTCTTTCTCAGGGCTGCGTATGGGGGCAATTACATCGTTTCAAAAATTTCAGAAGGCCAATGTAAGTGTAATCCGAACTCTAATCAGACATAATAATGGAAAACACTTTTTTTGGATTTGCAGGTGCTTTAAGTTGATTGTCAAGCACACCTGTATCACTTACTATCAACTGATTTGGTTGGTGTTAGGATTTGGATTTTGGTATGTAAAAGAAAAGAGAAAATGGGGTTTTGTTGAATTTTGTCAATAAATACAAAAAGGCTACATAAAAAAAGACAGATCAAAATAGTGGTTGCCATCTCAGAGGGTTTAGTGGGTTTATCAGGATTTAATTAATATATATGAATATATAGACAAGATAGACATTGCTATTGAGGCTGTCCTAAATGGATTAAAGTAGTTTGTTTCACTCTCAAACCAGTATGCTGGCATAGCTATGCATCAGTCTTGACTTAAAATTATGTTAGATTCAGGCAGATGTGTTGCTCTCTAGTGACTGGTTAGGGAAAACTGAATCCCCCATGGATATTGGTTACAGTGGAGATAGAGAGATATCAGGCACCACACTGCAGACGCAGCGTAGCAGTTAACTTCTCACAAGACATTGACAAAGCACAGATGTAATGAGAGTTAGCACAGTTAGTGACTAGCTTAAAAACATAGTGGAGCATTTAGCAGCTAAAGAGCCAGATATCAGTGTAGTTGGTAGAGACCCCAAAAAAGGCTAAGAGGGAGTGAATATTAGACACATTCGTCAGGTCACCAGAAAAACAACTCCAAAATGATCGAAATTGTTACTCTGCATCTGCTGGATGTGGGAATAACAAACTATTTGCTAATACCTCACAATACAATATCATCTTAAACAGGTCTCAGTGCTGTGTTTCCAACTTGTTTTTCACTGCCCCAAAGTGGCCAATAAATGTATGGAAGAGTGAAGAAGCTATCCCGTATATTTAGGAAGATATTTAAGTGTCAAGACGTTTGATAAACAGCACTTGAGATACCTTTTATTAATTTAGACACATCATGTTGACAGTTAATTGACATTTTTACTAGTATGTTATTAGAATAAAGTTACATATATCTGTGCAACATAACCTTAGTTTTAGCCAAAGGATATTTGTGATATAATTTTTGGAGTTTGGTTTTTAACCCAAACCTGAGTTAAGATTGTCATTTCCTATAGGGGCCACTAGTGCAGCTTTTAGAATTTCCGTCTCGTGAAATTATGATATTTGTTGGACATCTTAATTTAAAGCATTTAACAGTACCTCAAAACATGCATTTTTTTCCATGAGAAGTCCTAATGTTAGTCCTCAACTAAAGAAAAAATAAGCACATGATGTTGTTCCCTTTTGTTTATGGCTCGCTGATATTCAGTTCCTTCTCGTCTCAGCAGTTTTCTCCCCAGACTCTTGTGGATTTCTATGTAAACAACAAGTTCCATTTACTCGAGTTTTCACATCTGC